ATGAAAGCAACTGCATTTTAAATGCTACCCTTCCAAATGTGTTCCTCAGGAAAAATACAGGTAGTCACATTTGTTTAGTGACTATTCAAAGTTACAATGGCACTGAGAAAAGTGACTTATGACTGGTTTTCACACTTACAACTGTTGTAGCATCTTCATGGTCATGTCATAAAAATTCAGATGCTTGACCAATGGCAAGTATTTATGACAGGTGTTGTGTTCGGGGATCAAGAGATCCCATTTTGCAACCTTCTTAGAAGCAAAGTCAATGGGGAAGCCAGCTTCATCTGATAACCATGTTACTAACAACTGCACTTGTTCACTTAACAACTATGGCAAGAAAGGCCATAAAATGGGGCAAAACTCACTTTAGAAATATCTTGCTTAGCAATGGAAATTTTGGGCCGAGGGCCAGTGGTGGGTTTCAAAATTTTTACTACCGGTTCTGTGGGTGTGGCTTGGTGGGCGTGGCAGGGGAAGGATACTGCAAAATCCCCATTTCTTCCCAATCAGCTGGGACTCGGGAGGCAGAGAATAGATGGGGCTGGGCCATTCAGAGGTGGTATTTACCGGTTCTCCAAACTACTCAAAATTTTCGCTACCGGTTCTCCAGAACTGGTCAGAACCTGCTGAAACCCACCTCTGCCGAGGGCTACTTGTATTCATTTTCATTTCAATATAATGAAAGAGCCTTGATAGTACAGGGGTTTAGTGCACCCTGTAATTAACACAGCTGCCTGCAATTTCTGCTGGTTCGAATCTCTCCAAGGCTCAAGGTTGACTCAGCCTTCCATCCTTTCTAAGGTAGGTGAAATGAGGACCCAATTTATGGGGGCAATAAGCTGACTTTGTATAAAACATACAAAAAGAATGAAGGCTATTGCTTAACGCATTGTAAGCCGCCCTGAGTCTCCGGAGAAGGGCGGCATATAAATCAAATTAAAAAAATAATATCACAAAGAATCAGATCAAAGTTTCATCCAGGTTAGTATAATGTTCCCACGGTGGCTAACCAGATGCCAGGAGAAAAACTGGTTTGAAGAACAGACCCATTCTGGTTTTGTTTCACCACACCTGCTAGAGGAAGGAATAAAAAAAAAAAACCACCCCATTGGATCAGAATTCACTGACATATGGCCTGTTTTCACAAGATCTGACTTCTCCACAGTCCCAGTGTACTATGAGATTGGGACATAGCTGGTTCTCCATTTCATTCATTGCAGCTAACAATTATTCTTTTTCTTTTTTTGCTCTTAATCATTTTCTGCATATAAAAAATCCACTCTATCCCATTATGCAGTCTCAGTGTGGTCATAAGAAGCTTTCTTGGGAAGACACTGTTGAGCAACTGGTCAGTAGTTCATGAGATATTTGGAAGATTATTTGAGAAACTAATTATGGCGAGAGGGATAAATATAGTTCTGGAGAAATGAAAGGCTCTGCTTGTTTTCGGCCTTTCAGATGTTACTTAATGAGCAGTTTTTTTAATTGGATGGCTTTCCTGATGCTGGTGGAGCAAAGAGCTTATGAAATAAAGAACAATGGAAATGGAAAGAGACCTAGATGCATCCATCTCTCTCTCTCTCCCCCCCTCTCTCTTCCCCTCCCTCCCTCCCTCTCTCTCCACTCCTGCTGACTCCTTGAACTACTCCTACACTAAGGTGACCAGACGTCCCGCTTTTGGCGGGACAGTCCCGCTTTTTAGCAATTTGTCCCGCGTCCCGCGCGTTTCAAAAAAGTCCCGATTTTTCATTCTGCCTCCTCAGTCCCGCTGCCTCTTGAGCCCAGCTGATGGCTAGAAGAAAAAAAAACTGTTTAAACTCTTGCCCGGGGCTTCAAAGGGCCGCCCTACAGGCAATCAGTGTAAAGAGTTTTTTTTTCCCTAGCTAAACTGCAGAAACGAAACCGAAACCAGGGTCTTTGGTGCAACGTGACAAAATGAGGCAGAGAGAGATTTATTTTTATTTTTATTTTTCCTCCCCAAAAAAGGTAGGTGAAAAACGGCAAACAATGGGAAATTTAGGAAGAGAGTTCAAGATTTTAAAACACAAAAGAAAAAAAAGCTGTATTTAACTAGGGAATTGTAATAATTGAATTGAGATATATTAATAATTGTATATTGTGTTGAAAGCAGAAATGGTTAAGTTGTGGTTCAGAGGAATATATGGGGGAAATTATTTGGTTTATTATTATTGGTAAATATAATTAATTGATTTGTAAGAAATTGGATTGCATGGAAATAATTGGAATATTCATGTTCATATTGATTAATTACAAAAAAGATAGTTTTATAACTAATTGATTTATATTAAAATGTTGAATTTGTATTAAACAACTGTATTACATAATTACATAATTAAACAATGTGAGGATGGATATAAAAATAGATGACAATGAAAAGGGGTATAATATAGAAGGGAAAAATTGAATTTGATTAAGATTAGAGATGAGGATGAAGGGTAATATTGGTTTTTTAAAAAAAATAGATGAGGAATAAATATGGCAAAAGGAAATATAGAAATTGTAAATTTAATTGAAGTGACTAAAACACTGTTTAAATTTGTGAACGGCCAAATACTCTGTTCAAAGAAAATAAATTGTATGTTTGTATGTGTTTCTAATTACTGCTATTTATTCATATTTGTTCTCTTTTATTCTTTAAAGTTTAACCATTCATTCTTTATCTTAATATCTTTATATTTGTTTGGGTTGGCTTTCTTCCCTTTCATCTTTTTTATTGTACAGCAATCTTTCTCCTCAAACCTACCACCTCTCTCTTTTCTTTCCTTCTTACTTTCTCTTCCCCCCTCTTCTTCTCCTCCCTACTTCCTCTTCCTTTCTCCTTCTCCTCTCTTCCTCCCCCTCTTACCCTCACTCCTACTCTAATTTCCCTTCCCTTCCTTCATCCCTCTCTATTGCTGTATCCTTTTATGCATATGGACTACTCAGAGGGCTGAAAAAGTTATTTTTGACTGGTCCTCGCACTTTTGACCAGTCATCGAACTTACGACTGTCTTCACATTTTATGTTTTTTGCCCTATCTTATCACCATGGTGAAGAGAAGCAGTTGTGAAATGAGTGACATGGTTGTTAAGGATGCTGCATGGGCATAATGTGAGATGGTCATAAGTGTGAGGACCAGTCAAAAGTGCGAGGACCTGTCAGAAATGACTTTTTTCAGCCCTCTGGTTAGTCCTTTTGTGCATATGGACTATCAGAGGGCTGTGAAAATGTTATTTTTGATTGATCCTCGCACTTTTGTCCAGTCCTCAAATTTACGACTGTCCTCACATTTTACATTTTTGCCCTATCTTGTCATCATGGTGAAGAGAAGCAGTTGTGAATGAGTGACATGTTGTTAAGAATACTGCACGGGCATAAATGTGAGGATGGTCATAAGTGTGAGGACCAGTCAAAAGTGCGAGGACCTGTCAGAAATGACTTTTTTCAGCCTCTGGTTAGTCCTTTTGTGCATATGGACTACTCAGAGGGCTGAAAAAGTTATTTTTGATTGATCCTCGCACTTTTGTCCAGTCCTCAAACTTACGACTGTCCTCACATTTTACATTTTTGTCCTATCTTGTCATCATGGTGAAGAGAAGCAGTTGTGAAATGAGTGACATGGTTGTTAAGAATGCTGCACGGGCATAAATGTGAGGATGGTCATAAGTGTGAGACCAGTCAAAAGTGCGAGGACCTGTCAGAAATGACTTTTCAGCCCTCTGAGTAGTCCCTATACACATAGCCATGGCCACCGGTCACATGACCAGCTAGCCACGCCCATCCAGTCACATGGCCTCCAAGCCACGCCCACACAATAAGCCACGCCCACAATGGTGTCCTTCTTACCAATGTTAAAATCTGTTCACCTTACCCTATACACATAGCCATGGCCACCCGGTCACATGACCAGCTAGCCACGCCCACCAGTCACATGACCAGCTAGCCACGCCCACAAAATAAGCCACGCCCACAATGTCCCTCTTTACCAATGTTAAAATCTGGTCACCTTATCCTACACCTTGCAGTTTTCTTGGCAAGATTTTTTTGGAAGGAGTTTGCCATTGCCAAAGTCACCCAAATAAATATTAGTTATTTACTCTTAAACGCATAGCCCACCTTTAATCTGGAATAAGGGAATAACAGAGTTGGAAGGGATCTTGGAAGTCTCCTTGTCCAACCCCCTGCTCAGGTAGGAAACCTATAAACCAGTGATAGCTAACCTTTTTGCCATCGCGTGCGAAAAGCGGGGGAGCATGGGGGGGGTTTCACGCGTGCATGTGCCGACACCCATAATTCTATGCACCCCGGCCCCCCATGCGCCCCACGCTTTTGGCACATAATGGCACAGTGGGCCCACTAGACCCGTTTTTCACTCTCCCCAGGCTCCAGAGCCTTTCTAGGAGCCTGGGGAGGGCGAAAATGGCCTTCCCCACCCCTCCGGAAGCCCTCCGGAGGAAATAGCCTGTTTGTTGACTGGTGGGCCAGAAGGCCCGAAAATCAGCGTCCCAGAGCTGAGCTCATGTGCCCACCGATATGGCTCCACGTGCCACCTGTGGCACGCGTGCCATAGGTTCGCCATCATGGCTATAAACCATTTCAGACAAGTGCCTGTCCATTCTTCAAAACCTCCAGTATTGGAGCACCCACAATTTCTGGAGGCAAGCTGTTCCACAGATTAATTGGAAATTGAGGATGGCACACATAGCCATTAGGTGGCTAGTAGAGAAGGTGACACCCTGTTTCCTTTCTGTGCACTCTTTGCTCCCTCCCTCTCCACCCTGGTTAATTTAATTTTAATTGAATTTTAGATGTATGATCCTTATTTATTGTTTTAATGTTTTACAGTGCATTTTAATTGAAAGTCCGTAGGCTGCCTGTAGGCTGTGGGGTTGTCTCTGGCAAGATGGGTGGCATACAAGTTTAATAAATAAAAATAAATAACACAACATTCCTAGAGTTCATTAATTTGGTTTTCAAAGGGCATCTGTGGTCTCTACCTTTCGCGAAGCATGTTTCTCAGACCCATCCATATCCCCATCCAGGAACGGCATGGCAAAGGAGCTGAGATCCTAAAACAAACAGAAGTTTAGAACATTTCATTAAAGCTTGAAAAGCAAACACTACCCATAATTCACAAATACCCTGAAGCCCCAAAGCTATTTGAGCAGATACACCCTGCTCCAGGGTAAGTTTATATTTGAATGAGATCAAAGCAACAATGAGAACCATTAAAGGACATGACAACACAGGATAAAAGAGTACAGGGTTGGCCACAACGATTGCTCCAATACCCAAGATAGAAGCTACAAAAGGTGACTGAAGCTCCGGTCATTTTGTTTTATGTGTGACAGACATAAAAGATAGGTAATGGCCTTTGGGAATATCTTAGTTGCCACCTTGGCAAGTAGTGATTGTCAGGGTTCCAAGGAACACCCCCAACAAAATAAAGCTCTGAGCCCTGAGATTCCTCAAAGTTCCAATTTATTAGAGATGTCATGTTGGCACATCTGGGAAAACCCAAATCTGAGCTTCCAGGTTTTCCCCACCCAGCTAAGAGTTCACAGCCTTGCCCCACACCCACAAGTTCATCACATTGTCCAATCAACTCTTCACACTCCACCAGATACAATCTTCAGGCAGACTCCATCAGTCACAGGCAAAAGTCCTTGAATACGGAATGTTGTTATGTCTAACTTTCTACTGCTCCAACAACAACCCCCTCCCAACTTCCCCAGCTAAAATATGTGGCAGTTCAGAAGCAAAAAGAAAATTGTCTTCCAAAACTTACAGTGACCTTATGTATACTCTGGGCATAGTTACTCAAGTGTCCCATTGACTGCAATGATGCTTATTCCTAGATAAGTGAGGATCCTGGATCGTGAGGTCCTGCGCACAGTCACTCATGCCCTGGTCATTTATTGGCAGGATTACTGTAACACACTCCACATGGGAGTAACACTGAAAAGTATCTGGAAGCTATGGTCCAATTCAAGATGTTGGTCATTATCTTTAAAGCGCTTCATGGCATGGGGGAAGGGTATCTGAGGAGCCATCTCACCCCAATATGGCTGTCGTCCGTCCATCTGTCCCCCCGCCTTACACCAGTGGAAGAGGCTTGCTACAGGCTCTAAATGTCAAGGAAGTTTGACTGGCAGGAGCCAAGAGAAGAGCTTTTTCCACCACGGACCCCACCTTGTGAGTTGAACTCTGCCCTCACTCTTTTGGTCTTCCGAAAGGGCCTTAAAGCCTGGCTTTGCTGGCTGACTTGGGGCCTTCACTAGAGGTGACTAACTGGGTGGAAATAAGGCCTCGGCCTTGCCCAGTCCTTTAGTTTTTAGTTCCTATTTAAGCATTCCTATTTTTTAATTTTTTTTATAATTATCTTTTTATCATTTTGTAAGCTGCCCACAGCTGCTTTAACAATGAGATAGATGGCATATTAGATAAGAAAGCGAGATGAGAGAGAGAGAGAGGAAGACAGACAGACAGACAGAAACATAGACAGAAAGATATGGATGGATGGATGGATGGATGGATGGATGGATGGATGGATGGATGGATAGATAGATAGGAGATAGATAGATAGATAGATAGATAGATAGATGAGAGACAGAGTCAGAAACAGAGACAGAGGGAGGGAGGAAGGAGAGAGGGAGGAAGGAGAGAGGGGGAGAGAGGGAGGGAGGGAGAGAGGGAGGGAGAGAAGGAGAGAAGGAGGGAGGGAAGGAAAGAGACAGAGGGAGGGGGGAAGGAAAGGGGGAGGGAGGGAAGGAGAGAGGGAGGAAAGGAGAGAGCGGGAGAGAGGGAGGGATGGAGAGAGAGGGAGGGAGGGAAGGGAAGAGACGGGGAGGGAAGGGAAGGAGAGAGGGAGGAAAGGAGAGCGCGGGAGAGAGGGAGGATGGAAGAGGAGAGAGGGAGGGATGGAAGAGGGAGGGAGGGAGAGGGGGGAGGGAGGGAAGGAGAAAGAGAGGGAGGGAGGAAGGAAGGAGAGAAGGAGGGAGGGAAGGAAAGAGAGAGAGGGAGGGAGGGAAGGAAAGAGATGGGGAGGGAGGGAAGGAGAAAGAGAGGGAGGGAGGGAAGGAGAGAAGGAGGGAGGGAAGGAAAGAGAGAGAGAGAGAGAGAGGAAGATAGGGAGAGAGATAAGCAGGTATAGAAATGCAGCTCAAATATAGTGAGAGGTGTCAGCATGTCCACCTTAAAGCCAAGCAAGTGGAAGAAAGACAAGTTCAGGAGACCCTTTCAGATCACAGGAGATACCTCCTCAAAGGTCGTTGCTCCTGGAACCAAACCACTTTTGGCCTTAGCGGGAGCAGAAACATACATGCTCCTTTTTTCATGCAACATCCGAGCAGATGATCGAGTCTGCAATTCTTTTACAGTATGAGGATTACGCTTCTCCCTCTTCTCTCGCAGCCTCATGATCTTTAGAGGTTTTATTTCCTGGTGAACAAAGTCCCTCTAAGAAAATTCAATCCCCTTCGGCTCTCTTATTCCCAGAACAGGAAGGACAACTGCACTGTCAAGTCTTCCCTTCTACCCTGGCACCTTCTGAAATCAGTTAGAAAAAGCAGTTGGTTCCTCGTTCTTCATTCTCTTTCCAGAAGGTTCTAGACCAGAGGTCTTCAAACTTGGCCTCTTTAAGACTTGTGGACTTCAACTCCCAGAATTCTCCAGCCAGCATTGCCAGAATTCTGGGAGTTGAAGTCCACAAGTCTTAAAGCGGCCAAGTTTGAAGACCTCTGGTCTAGACTATATGCACATCCAGGAAAGAACACATCCAGGTTCTTCCTAAAGCAAAGAAATATCTCCATACAGATGGACCTCAGCTTACAACCATTCATTTAGTGGAATGAAATGAAAAAAAAGTGACCGACGACCATTGGTCACACTTACTGTACGACAGTTGCAGTATCTCCATGGTGACGTGATCAAAATTCGGATGCTTGGCAACTGGCATGTATTTATGATGGTTGCAGTGTCCTGGTGTCACATGATCCCCTTCTGTGACTTTCTGACAGGCCTTGGTTAACATGGTTAACAACCATGTTACTAATTTAACAGCTGCAATGATTCATGTATCTGGGCCAGAAGGGGAAAGCTCCCTTAACAATTGTCTTGCTTAGCAATGGAAATTTGGGGGTCAATTGTAGTAGGTCGAGGACTATCTGTACTCATCCAGGGCTCCTATTCTTACATGCACTCCTGCAACGACTCTAGCATTTATTTCACACAGTGTCAGTGCTAAGCTGTCTTTGAATCTAATTGGAGACACAAATAATACCAGAAGACCAGCATGGCTGCCTTTTCGAATTGAACGAAAAAGGGCAGTATTGGGGTGCCACTGCTTGATTTATTTGCAGGAACCCATCCTCTTGTTAAGTGAATTAATGTTATTTAATAAAGAAAATTGAGATGATAGAAAAGGGGAAATAGGGAGACCTTTACTGTATGCTGTAACAATCAAGCATCTTTAAACAATACAGTTAGTCCTTGACTTATGACCACAATGGAGCCCTAAATTTATGTTGTTAAGTGAGATGTTTGTTAAACAAGTTTTGTTCCATTTTACGACCTTTCTTGCCACAGTTGTTAAATGAATCGATACAGCTGTTAAGTTAGTAACAAGGTCTTTAAGTGAAGCTGGCTTCCCCATTGACTTTGCTTGTCATCCTTGGGACACAGCAATGGTCATAAATAGGAAACAGTTGCCAAGCATCTGATTTTTTTATCACATGATCATGGGGATGCTGCAAAGGTTGTAACTGACTTATGACCGTTTTTGGTCCTTAAGTCATTATTCATTGCCGTTATAACTTTGAACATGACTAAACGAACTGTTGTAAATTGAGGAGTACAATGTATAGGAAAAATCATATCTAATGAGACAAAGATGCCCAAGTCATCCTCATTCATTGTGTTTTATCCAATCTAAATTATTTTTTATAAATAATTCAAGATGGTAAGCATCCCTGATATTCCTTTCTTGTTCTGCCCCAGTTACGGACCCCAAAGAATGCAGCACACACAAAGTCTGTACAAACCTTAGTTTACTAAATTAAATCAGTCTTTTTCAAACAAAGGCTGTTAATTAACTTTCTTAACAGCCTACAAGAATCCAAAGAATAAATAATTGTAATCTTACTATGGTCGGCAGAAAGCCCAGAAGCAATTTGCAGAGAACAAGACACGAAGGAAAGTGAACGAAGTTGTTCCCTGCAAATTGCTTCAGTCGTCGTCCTTCCTTAAATAGGCTAAGGGAGTAGCCAATTAGCCCCAAGCCTTACTCTCAAGGAGACCTCCTCCTGAGGAGCCATTCCTGCCTTTTGGCAGCTTTGTGCGCCCGTGCATCGAGAAGAAGCTCCTCCTCTTCTTCCTCTTCACTTATGGGAGCTTCTGGAGGTTCTGAAGGCCCTGGCTGAATCCCCGCCTCTGGCACCCCATCTTCTCCAGCCTCCTCACTGTCTGACTCAAGCGCCAGCTGCACAGGCTGCTGGCGCAGCACCACACCAGCCATCTCGCTGTCGGAATCAGCTACTAGCTGCACAGGCCGCTGACGGGCCACAACATTTCTCCTCCTATTTTCCACACAACTACCCCATGAGGGAGGCTGGGCTGAGAGAGAGTGACTGATCTAAAAGTGTCCCAGATGGGTTTCATTCCTGAGACACATCTGTCTCCTGGTGATAGGCCCAAAGTCATCCAGCCAGCTTGGGTACCTAAGACAGGATTAGAACTCACCGTCTCCTGGTTTCTAGCCAGGTACCTAAAAATCACTAGACCAAACTGGCTTTCTAATTTTCTACTTTTAGAAAATAAACATCAGTTAACTTCCTGCTGTTACCAGGTACTACTTGAAGTTTCTGATCAACTTCACTTTTTAACTAAACATTCTCAATTTTTAGTAGCACGGAGGATAAAGCTGTCAGTTTGCACTGAACTCAAATGATTCTTGAGGCTTATTCTGTGCCTGGCCCCAATACGTCATTTGCTTGTCCTCTTCCTTTGCCCACAGCCTCTTATGGCAAAATCTCATTCTGGGATTGAGGATCTTGAGCCTTCAGAAGGTGTCAGTGGCCTCTTGAACTACTAAATGAAAGCTAAGCACAAAATTAGGGATAGACATTTAAAATTAAAAACAGAAGTTGGCGGACTGCCAGTCCACTGTGACTTTTCCTGTCATTCCCCACCAGACAAACGCTTGTTCATGGACATAAAGATCTGAATCTCATCCCTTTTGGAGTAGCTGCTTGCTTATTTATTTGTTTGTTTGTATTCCGCTTTATTGTTTTTATATTTAAAGCAGCGGACATTTCTAACATACCTTCCTCCTCCTATTTTTCCTGCAACAAGCCTGTGAGGTGAGTTGGGCCAAGAGAAAATGATTGGCCCAAAATCACCCAGCTGGTTTTCATGCCTATGGCGGGACTAGAACTCACAATCTCGTGGTGATTGGCCCAAAGTCAGCCAGCTGGCTTTTGTGTCTAAGGCGGGACTAGAACTCACAATCTTCTGGTGATTGGCCCAAAATCACCCAGCTGACTTTCATGGCTAAAGTATACCTTGAACTCACAGTCTCCTGGTGATTGGCCCAAAGTCACCCAGCTGGCTTTCGTGTCTAAGGCGGGACTAGAACTCACAGTCTTCTAATGATTGGCCCAAAGTTAAGGTGACCAGACGTCCCGCTTTTGGCGGGACAGTCCCGCTTTTGAGCAATTTGTCCCGCGTCCCGCGGCGTTTTAAAAAAGTCCCGATTTTTCATTCTGCCTCCTGAGTCCCCGCTGATGGCTAGAGGGAAAAAAAACTGTTTGAACTCTTGCCGCGGGGCTTCAAAGGGCCGACCTACAGCTGATCAGTGTTAAAAAAAAAAAACCTTGGTATATTTGCGGCGCAAGGCAGCCCTCGTTTCCTGCCGACTCGGAGCGGTAAACAGCGTCTGGTTCGGGGAGCAGCCGGATTTTGCTCTCCATTGCTCTCTCAGTCCCCTGCAAGCTCTCATCTCTCGAGAAGCCCAACCAAAGTTTCCCGCGCCATTTCAGGGAGCGTTCCTCGAGAGACGAGAGCTTGCAGGGGGCCGAGAGAGCAATGGAGAGCAAAATCCGGCTGCTCCCCGAACCAGACGCTGTTTACCGCTCCGAGTCCCAAGCGACAGGAGAGGAGGGCTGCCTTGTGCTGCAAATATACCAAGGTGGAATCCTGATGCCGCCCTTACAGCGGAGAGAAGAAGCCGGATTTTGCTCTCCATTGCAGACACCAGATCGTAATGCACCACCTGCAAAAATGCGAAAATTTCCAAATGTAGCCCTGCCCTCTTACAGCTCTCCTGATGTTCAACTGTTGTCTCTCAAGGAGGATACTTGGCCAGCCTCATGCTTGATGTCTCCCACCTTGGCAGCTTTAAGACTTGTGGACTTCAACTCCCAGAATTCTCCACAATTCCCCAGAATGGGCTCGGCGGGAGTTGAAGTCCAAACGTTGTAAAAGAGCCACAATTGCCCAGCCCTGGGCTAGGGTAGGCTGATGCCGCGCGGATGGGAGGAGGGGCGGGCGACCCAGCAATTAAGTTGTGGTTTGGAGGTATATATGGGGGAAATTATTTGGTTTATTATTATTGATAGATATAATTAATTGATTTGTAAGAAATTGGATTGCATGGAAATAATTGGAATATTCATGTTCATATTGATTAATATACAAAAAAGATAGTTATATAACTAATTGATTTATATTAAAATGTTGAATTTGTATTAAACAACTGTATTACATAATGACATAATTAACCAATGTGAGGATGGATATAAAAATAGATGACAATGGGAAGGGGTATAATATAGAATAGAAGGGAAAAATTGAATTTGATTAAGATTAGAGATGAGAATGAAGGGTAATATTGGTTTTTTTAAAAATAGATGAGGAATAAATATGGCAAAAAGGAAATATAGAAATTGTAAATTTAATTGAAATGACTAAACGCTGTTTAAATTTGTGAACCAGCCAAATATTCTGTTCAAAGAAAATACATTGTATGTTTGTATGTGTGTGTTTCTAATTACTGCTATTTATTCATATTTGTTCTCTTTTATTCTTTAAAGTTTAACAATTCATTCTTTATCTTAATATCTTTATATTTGTTTGGGGTTGGCTTTCTTCCCTTTCATCTTTTTTATTGTACAGCAATCTTTCTCCTCAAACCTACCACCACTCTCTTTTCTTTCCTTCTTACTTTCTCTTCCCCCCACCCTCTTTTTCTCCTCCCTACTTCCTCTTCCTTTCTCCTCCTCCTCCTCTCTTCCTCCCTCTCTTACCCTCACTCCTACTCTAATTTCCATTCCTTCATCCCTCTCTATTGCTGTATCCTTTAATGCATATGGACTACTCAGAGGGCTGAAAAAGTTATTTTTGACTGGTCCTCACACTTTTGACCAGTCCTCGAACTTACGACTGTCCTCACATTTTACATTTTTGCTCTATCTTGTCATCATGGTGAAGAGAAGCAGTTGTGAAATGAGTGACATGGTTGTTAAGAATGCTGCACAGGCATAAATATGAGGATGG